TGGTGAAACCCCGTCTCTACTAAAAATACAAAACATTAGCTGGGCATGGTGGCGCGTGCCTGTAATCCCAGCAACTCAGGAGGCTGGGGCAGGAGAATTGCCTGAACCCGGGAGGCAGAGGTTGCGGTGAGCTGAGATCGCGCCATTGCACTCCAGCCTGGGTAACAAGAGCGAAACTCCGTCTCAAAAAAATAAAAAAAAAGAAAGAAAAAAAAGAGTTAACAAGAGTTTATATAGTTTTATACTGTATAGAGAACTGTGCAGATTTTCTACAGAGTAACAGAATAATCTATTATGGTGACCCTACAAAAGAACAACAAGGGCTAGGAGAATTAAACTATGTCTGGTCTTGAAGTCGCTTGGTCCTAATTACCTATTACGTAACTCAGAGAAAATTTGCTTTGCTTCACTGGGACCAAGTACTTTGAAGTAGCCCCTTCTAAAAAAAAAAAAAAACCAAAAAGATCTAATCAGATATGAAAAGGCCAATGGGAACATATAAGAGGTAAACAGTTAAACATTAAACAATTAAAAAAAAGAGCTGCCTGCTCTGTACTCAGATTATAAAAAAGGGATAATTACACATCAACAGTTTTTTCAGGGGGTTCTTCCTCTTTGACAGGGAGCTCTATAGGCTTTGTTTCTTCTTCCTAAAACCAAATGAAACAAGGTGGTTAACATAAATCTAAAGAATAAATATCTATCAACAGAAGAACATCAGAACTTTAAAATAAACCAGTCTCTCAGAACCTTCATACCCATCTTATGCTCCCCTAATAAATTTACACCGAAGTCCTCCAATGACTGATGTTAAAGCAATGTGGCCAAGGCAGTGGCACATTACCAGACCAGAGACTAACTTTACTCTATCCAACTCACCTCTGTTTCATCTCCCAGTACATCTTCTTCATTTGCCTCCTCTTCAGCTAAAGAATATTAAAATATTCAGGTCAAGCCCTGCTACAAAACCATCTTGATCACTTACCAAGGTTAAAATTATAATCACTTTGTTTTCCCCCAAAAAATCCAGTAGTGAAGGCAGAAATTGATGCACAAATAATCTGCTACATCTGGAGAAGATAAAACCAGATCTCTACCTAACATTAATTATAAATGTGAACTCCAGTTGGACTGAAGAAAGAAATGTAAAGTCAAACTAGAGAATTAATTTAAAAAGTAATGTGGGGCTGGGCACTGTGGCTTACTCTGTAATCCTAGTACTTTGGGAGGCAGAGGAAGATGAATGGCTTGAACCCAGGAGTTCAAGCGACCAGCCTGGGCAACACAGCGAAACCTCGTCTTTATAAAAAATACAAAAGGGCCGGGCGCGGTGGCTCAAGCCTGTAATCCCAGCACTTTGGGAGGCCGAGGCGGGTGGATCACGAGGTCAAGAGATCGAGACCATCCTGGTCAACGTGGTGAAACCCCGTC